TGTGCCAGGAGACAAGGGCAGTAACAGTCCCGATCTGGATCGTGGATTAGTGAATAGGTTAGAGGGGCCAGTCTTCTGACAGATGGTCAGCTGTTATGGGGCAATAGGGGTTTTAAGATGCGGGGGGTGTTCAGAGGAGGGCCCCCTCTCCTGCAGAAAGCATGCATTCTCTCCCTTCTTGCCAAATCACTCGGAGGGGAAAAGAGAATTCTGGAATCAGCACTTAGAATGGCGGGGGAGACCCAGACACCCCCCACCCCCGCCCCAGCCTGGAGCTGGGAGAGGAGACTGAGAGAGACGCAGCTCCTCGCCTGTCCCCTGCCTGTGCGGAGGGGCGAGTGGCTCAGGCCAGGCCCCCTGCGTACTGAACAGCATGCTGCTTGTAGCTCACACGTTGGATTTCTTGCCGGGGAAAAGCATAAAGGTAGGTGATGTGAGTCAGAACCGCTGCTCCGGGTTTGCATTCACGGGGCGCGGTCAGGTGCACGGGGGTGGGGGTGGGGGGCTATTGCTGCAGCGAAGGCCACTGCTGGGCGCGTGGTGCACCAAGCAAATTATGTGTTCCGGCTAAGGTGCAGTCCTAGGGTGTGACCTGCGCAGCATGGGGGTACGCCACGGGTCTCAGACGCTCTGCTCGGCAGCTGGGATTCGAGTCACAACCATTTTTGCTCCTTGCCATGTTTGCTGAACTCAGATGCAGCTGCATAGGAGGGCGCGCGCAGACTCAGTAGCCCCGGCGGCGTCTTCCTAGGTGGCGGCCGTTTGCTTTCTGGATATGAGTGATCCGGCTTGGGCAGAGGTGCGCCCCCCCGACCTGGGGCTCCTAAAAAAAATCTGTGGGTGCGTGCCCCCCTCCCCCCACCACTGCCCGGCAGCCAGCTCTTCATCCGGGAATCAGGTTCCTTTGCAAACATGCCTTTGGACCTAAGGGGGGACGGGACGTGAAAGCGCCATCTCAGAAACCTTGACAAAAAGCCTTTTGTTGCGTGGCCAGGGGGGCGTGTGTGCTCAGATGTGCCTGCCATCCCACCGGACCTTGGGGGGGGGGGTGGGGGAGGAGCGGAGGGAGCTGCCTGAGTCGCGATACTCCCTGGGCACTTGAGCAAGTCCAGGGGCCCCCTTGGCGTGTATTCCCGCGCCACGGCGAGGAGCGATGGGAAACCCTGGGACTGGACGCATGGAGGTGATGGGCAGGCGGGGCCTTCTTGCGCATGTGTGGGGAACTCACCACTCCTGGACACAGGCGCCCGCACCTTCGGCATGCGTTGTGCATGCATTTCGCACAAAGGCACAAAGTATAACAGTGCGCTCTGCGATCCAGAAATCCCGACATGGAATACATTAACCCTGGGTTTCAGCGTGATGATTTCGCGGAGTCACGGCCTCATTTTCTAAGGCAGAGGCTTGCGGCCCGGGGGCCCAGGTGGACACCGAGGCACTGTAAGAAGCGCATTTAGGTCTGGACGCTCAGGCTCTTTGTTGGGAAGTCACCACCAGGCCTCCTCCCTGCTGTGACCCCGTGGCTGGGCCAGATTATGCTTCCTGACCGTATCTGTGGCAGCTGGTTAAACTGGAGGTGTGGCCTCGATGTAGGGAGCCCAGGCGCTTTAGCAAGGAGCTGGATCAGAAATGGAGCAGCCGGGACTCGAACCGGCACCCACATGGGATGCGGGCACTGCAGGCCGCAGCTTAGCCCACTATGCCCAGCGCCATGCCCAGTACTTATAGGTTTAGCAAGCCACCAGGTACTGCTTGCATATAGGAGAGGGGTCTCATGTTAATATCCAATCAGGCCTCAGTGAGTCTGAGAAATTAGCCAGTTGGGCCTGTGTCCCCTTAGCCTTGAGATGGTTTTCTTCCTTTCTTTTATTTCTCTAAGATTTATTTATTCATTTGAGAGCTAGAGTCAGAGAGAAAGAGAGATAGGTCTTCCATCCGCTGGTTCACTCCTCAAATGGCCACAGTGGCCGGAGCTGGGCTGATCCAAAGCCAGGATCCAGGAGCTTCCTCTGGGTTTCCCACAGGGGTGCAGGGGCCCAAGCACTTGGGCCATCCCTCACTGCTTTCCCAGGCCACAGCAGAGAGCTGGATGGGAAGTGGAGCAGCTGGGACTCGAACCGGCGCCTCTGAAATGGAAAGTCAGCACAGCAGGCGGCATCTTAGCTTGTGCGATATGGTCTGATTTTCTTTTGGGGTTCACAGAGGTTTTGAGTTCCTCCTAAACCTCGGAGGACATCTTGTTTGGTAAGGAGGGATTCCGACTTTCCCGGCCAGGGCTGGACGCTTTTGCACGCCACCGTGCTGCCCACCTCCCCCAGGAGGTGACGGACAACCTGCAGGCTGCCTGGAGCTGCTCTGACTTCCTGGGCACAGACGCGGGCTGGGCCAGGCTTCCTTGATCTGAATGCAGGAGCGCCCTATTGGTGTTTTTTGTTTTTTTTTTGGTAATGTTCTTAGAACACAGTAAATGGGATTTTTTTCCTGCTGTCCTCTCTCTCTGCAGGGGCTGAGCTTAACTCTGCCCTTCCTCGCACTCTGCAGAATGCAGCCTTGTTGAGAAACTTGTTTCCTAGCTCAGTTCACTTCAAGTAAGTGAGGCAGTCAGCCACGCTGATGGGATTCCGCTCGGAAACAAAGCCGCGCCACAATGCGGGCTGACATGCCACGGAGAAGAAAAGGCACGTTTGACTCCCCTACTCCAGGGATCAAACTTCGCATTCACTGGGCCTGACATCCCTGGTGGGAAGACATTGCGCTGCTTCTGGGCGCTCTGTGAGCTCCAGGGATAAGGGGTGCATTCCTTCCGGGTCAGCAGGCACGCTCGGCTCCTGCAGTGCCCCTGGGAGCTGGCAGGGTTAGCGCTCGGCTCTGCACCCTCCGCCTCCTGCTGGTGCAGCCCTGGACCACGCAACCGATGCAGGAAACCAGAAGTTAGCTGGCATGGTGTCCCGACTCAGCACGGCGCCCAGCCTGCCAGCCACACCTGAGTGAGGATGCAGTGGCCCGCTCTGGCTGCCCTGGCCTGAGGAATCAGGCCCGCATCCTCTCGGCAGCTGCCCCACTACCAGTCTTACTGGTAACACCGGTGCCTGCAGCCCCTTCGACCCCCCCCCCCCCCCAACCTCCCTCTCTGGACACTTCATCCATTCTCCAGCTTCCTCTCTGTATCTGTAAAATCCTTAAGCTCCTCTGGCATATATTTGCATGACAATATATGTGCGCTTCACAAAGTTCCTGGAAAAGGGAATTAACCTGTAAGTAAGTTCATTTTGGAGCTGAAAATTTCGAAACCTGAGAGACTTTGAGCAAAGCCTCCAGGAAGATCTTGGAGGATGCATATTAGAGATAAAAACAGGAAACGGTGCAGTGGAGGTCAAAGTTTTTTTTTTTTTTTTTTTTTTTTTTTTTTTGCAACAAAGTAAACTTAACTGTTTCATTTCACAATTTCATTCCCTTTTGCCGGGAGTTTGTTGCAGTCCCCTGGGTTTGGGCTTCCTCAGCGGGTTGGGAGGTTCCTTTCCTTTTGTGCTTGCTGGTGTCCTGTGTTCCTGGTGAGATGAGCTGTTCCCATGTATGCACCTGACAAAGCGGACAGAGTCCGTGCTGAGCTGTGTCTCAGAACGCACGTCCAAGGCCCACTTGTACTCCATTGGCTCCCCGGGGTGGGGACAGCGGCTCCCACGTGACAGGTGTAAAATACCAGCGAGTCAGGTGAGCGTGCGTGTGACAAGGGCTGGCTCCGTGGGCTCCTTGTTGATCCAGGAGGAAGCTCCTTTCTACCAGTGTGGGCAGCTTGTTTAGTAAGTTCGAGAAAAAGTGCGTGCCCTGTTTTGCGTGACCGAATGTACCCCTTAAAATATAAAATTGCCATAACATCCAGGAACCTCGTGGGGTCTCAGCTGCAGCCCTGGTCTCCTTCCGGTCTCTGCCTCTACCTGATGCCTGGGGTGGGTGGGTTGTGTGTGATGTCACCTGCTCCTCCACCCGCTGGGATTGGGGACCCCCGAGTGCTGCTAAACCCGTCCCCAGGAATTTGGGCTGAGGTTAGATGTGGAGGAAGCGTGAGGACGTGATGTTGTGAGCGAGGAGCAGCCTACCTCCATCGCTGATTCTCTGCTGGCTACACCTGCGGCCGGCTGGCGGGCCGAGACTCACGTAAAGCATACTGCCTTGGGAATCTCCTTTGCAAGCAGTGAAAGCGAGCTGAAGATTGAGGAAGGAAGCAGAAGCCAGGGTGGGGGCATTGCCTTCCAGTCCTTGATCGCCCACTGCAGGGGTGCCGGGCAGCCCCGGGTACAGCTCGAAACAGTTCTGCTCGGTGAGATGGCAGACGGTACCAGGTGCAGGTGTCGGTGTGGAGTGGTGGAATGGTGTCAGCAAGGAAGGCAGGCCCGGGCCCCCCCTGTGGGCATCCTTGGTGGGTGCTCGGCGTGGAGCTCTTTCCAGGGGTCCTCAGACGCCCTGCTGTCCTCTGCATGTGCCTGATATCTTTCCCATACCGGCTTCCCTGTCCCTTGC